CGGGGAGGCCAAGGCGGCGGGAGTGCCGGGGAAGTTGGGCCGGCCAGCGACCCGAGGACTCTTCCCCTCTTCCGTTCCCCTTCCTCTGAGTTCCTCCCGGGCGCCTGCCCGCTGCTCAACTTCCCTCCTAACCCTGGTCCGCGGCAGCGATTCCCGTCCTGAGCTCTCTCCCCATAGTCTTCTCTACTTCTAGCAGCCTCCGAGGCCTCGCGATGCCCCAGGGACTCGGTGGCAGCGGCTTCCGGGGCGTCGGGAGCGAAATCGCTGTCCCGGGCGGTGGGGGCGGGGAGGAGAAAAGTTGCGTGAGCGTCCTGCGGAGGGGACCGACTCTTGGTCTCCCGGGTGCGGGCTTCTGCGGGGATCGCTGTACCGCTGCCACTTTCCTTGCTTCGTGGAATCCCCCAAAGCCCCGGTGATCGGGAAGACGCTCGATCGGGAAGGTGGTTAGTGTGAGGACTTTTTTTTTTTTTTTTTAATCCCAGCACACTTTTCAAAATGCTACCTGACTTTGAGCAGGGGTAGAAGCCCAAAGACCGAAAACATTTGGTCGTGAATCATTCTTTCCTTTTGACTTTGATGTTCGAAGTCTGAGTAAGATATGTTGTGTGATTGAAACAGACTTAAAATGTAATGTCAAACATATCTGCACACTTAGTTTGGGATTTGTACGTACTTGATGTTTCGATAATGCCTTCGCAGTAGTCTTTGTTATTTAAAGGCATTTGATTATAAGGGAACTGTAAAGGTAGTCAGAAATACGAAATATTACATAATGAAAACCCATGTACGCATACTTCTTGGGTCAGCGCTTACCAGCCCAACCAAATTTGCCTAATTTACACTCTTTCCAGTCCTTTTAGGTTGGAAAATCGCTCATGTTATTCATTTTCACATTTTCAGTGTGTTTTGAAAGCCAGTTCCCAAAAAAAGAGGCAGTTTTGTAATTAACTCTTTAGTATCAAATATTTATCTGCAGATTAAACTTTCAACAGTGAATGCTTTGTGGTGTTAGGACCATTTGTTCAGTGAGGTTTTCTGATGTTTAGCCTAAGGAGCTTAAGTCTAGATTTTTAGTTTGGCCTTTAGTCAGCACTTTTAGACCATTACCGTGGAAGTATATCCAAAACATTTCAGCATTTTGGTGTATATGTAAACAAACGTAGGCCTGTAGATCTCAGCTTTACATCATTGAAATGAAATGATCTTATTCTGTCTTGGTAGCTACCCAAAATACTTTAGGTTTTTTTTTTTTTTAATGTAATAGAAGACAGTAAAAATAGTAAAATTTGTTAGTTTTACTTTCTGTAGTAGAAGGGGAAATCGGTCTCCCTCATGAAAACTTGTTTTAGCACAAATGTGTATGATGACTAATTTATTATTTTGTCAGTTTAGAATCGGCTTCTTCGTAAGCTTGCGGGGATCCTCTACTGAGTATATATTTAACTTGGACAGAGATTCATTATAAGTTGCATAAATATAAGTTAATAAAAGAAGAAAATGAAAAGTACGTATCAAAACATATTTAAAAGTATTGGTGAAAATAATTTTCATTGTAAATTTCGAAATAATGAAGATTTATCAAGTCCCCAAGCAGTTGTTCACCTCTTTCTAGTAACAAGTGATGTATTGATATTTAAACTATAGAAAGACAAAGTGGCAGAAATGGGTAAAAATTGATTGTGCTTAAAAAAGTAGTGTAATGTTTAAAAAAAAAAGTTTGACTCTTGATTTACTTCCCTGGAAAATTTTTTCTTCGTACTGTAATTATGTAGATAAATCAGATGAATTGATTTGTCATTTATAAGTCAGGAAAATAAAGGTGATGTATTTCTATTCCTGTAATAATTCATGGAGCAGTATAATGTGCTCAGGTTCTCCAGCTCCAGAAAGTGACACTCAGCAAGTGAGCACAATGCTACAGGGACAAAGAAGATAGAGTAAAGATGATGTCTTGCACTTGGGGATGTGGCCAACTAAGGGATTTTTTTTTTAAGTCATGGCCCAAAATGCTTTAATCCAGCTATCAGAATCTTCAAGGTTGGGTTAAAAGCTGCAGGTACATGAGAAAACACCAGTTTCCTGACCTTTTTTCTTCGTATAAGTGCTGTGAGTCCTTTAGTCAACTGTCTTGACATTTCTGAGATCCTGAAAAAAATTAACATTTTGTGCTTAAGCTTTTTTATTAGGGGTAATTACCTTATTCAGATTACTTTTAAGGTAAAAATGATGTTTATGAGAATACTAAGTTTTGGAAACGTGAAAGAATGTTTCACATGTGTAAGTTGGTTTTCTGGATATCATATTAGAAGTTATCACTGTTATTATGTATTCATTGGTAATATCAGTACATGGAAGCATACAAAATGAAAAATGAGTCTGTTTATCTTCTTCCATTTATCTATTTGCTTATTTATTCTTTGTGGCACTAGGGATTGAACCCAAACCCAGGGCCTTGGCATTGAGCCGTATCCTCAATTCTCTTTATTTTTTGTTGCCCAGGCTGGGCTTGAACTTGTGATTCTTCTGCCTTAGCCTCCCAGAGTGCTAGGATTGCAAGCCTGCACCACAACATCTGGCTTATGTAACCATTTTTAAAGGTTTGTATGCTGAATGTTGAAGAGACACAAGAGAATTCATAGATAGATTCATATTTTTCTATGCACAATGTTTCATACTTGTTAAGTATTTAGTGATTATGTATTTTCTTAAATTCTTTTCACAGGGAATATGAAACAGGTGTCAAAATGACATCCAGATTTGGGAAAACATACAGTAGGAAAGGAGGCAATGGCAGCTCAAAATTTGATGAAGTCTTTTCCAACAAACGGACCACCCTTAGCACAAAATGGGGAGAGACCACATTTATGGCTAAATTAGGGCAGAAGAGGCCCAATTTTAAACCAGATATCCAAGAAATTCCGAAGAAATCTAAAGTAGAAGAGGAAAATACTGGTGACCCTTTTGGATTTGATAGTGATGATGAGTCTCTACCGGTTTCTTCTAAGAATTTAGCCCAGGGTAAAAGCTCCTACTCAGAGGCAAGTGAAGCAGCTCCGCTGGAGGAAGTCATTTCAGTACTTGAAGTTAACAGCAGAACCGGGCCCATGGTGGGGGAAGACGGCATTGTGTCTCCTTCAAGCTCACCTCTGGAGGCTGCTCTGCCTGGAAAAGAGAGGGCCACAGACCGACTCCAGGAAGATGAGGCCAGCAGAAGTGGCTGCACTGAATTAATGGCTATGGGTAAGTTTGCACTTTCTTCATGATAAGCCAAGAGAGCTTTTTGCAAGCCATTATGTAAATGATTTGAATTTGAAAATACTATATCACTTAGGTTTGCTTTCTGCAGTTATGATCAATGGAGACTGTTGACAGTTTTGTATAAGATTTCAGAACTTTTTTTTTGTTCAGGGTTTTTTTGTTTTGTTTTGTTTTGTTTTTTTTGAGACAGGGTCTCACTATGTAGTTGAGACTGACCTGGAACTCACTGTGTAGCCCAGGCTGGTCTCGAACTCACCGGGATCCTCCTACCTCAGCCTTCTGAGTGTTGGGATTATAGGCATACACCACCACACTTGGCTTGGATATTATTGTTTTTAGGCTTATTACTCCAGCTATATTTGGGAACTGTCTTTCATAAATCTGTAAGCCCAGTTTCAGTAAGAAACATGTTTCCTTGTGTTAGAACTGCATATTGTCTCATTTCTTTTACTATAGAACAGTGATGGCTAAGACAAGTGCCCAAACTGCAATCCAAAACCCACAAAGAGCCAATACTGCAATTAAACCTGAAAATTGAGGTTTTAGTTTAGGAAAATCAATTCGTACATTAACACCACTTGTCTTAAAAGAAAAATAACATGCATGTCATAGGTTCGCCACCACTGCTGTAGAGGACTTTAGTGGTTCCTGGTAATGACAGTGAAGATTAGCTAGGAGTGCTAGAGTTGAAAAACTAGTTCAGAAAGATTAAGGGGGTATTGGGTAGAGATGTGGAAGAGGCAGGCATTATTGCAAGTGTATTTGCTACATACTCTTCGTCAGTGTGGCATCTAGTATAGCCTCCAAAATGTCTGGTCACTTGTACCCATGCCTGCTTGTGTGAAAGATCTAGGCTTACAGTAAACAGTAAAAGGGAAGCTGGCTCAAGGACGGAGGCTGAGGAGCAGGGTAGAGAGAATGCGGGTACCCTATTAGCTAATGGGTGACAGCAGCCATTCTAGTTGAAAATGCACCTTCGTTCTGGACTTCTTAGCTAAGATTAGTGAGACTGTAAGGCTATTTAGAGCTCATATCTTGAAAGGACATAAGGACAAAACTTCCCTAGTACTGCTTTCATGGATGGAGTGACTTTCTAGCTCCATACAAGTCACATGCAGCAGTGTCTTGTAGTGTGCCTTGCACAGTGGACTAGAAGGGCTGAGCGTTTTTCGCCCTCTTCTTCCCTTGGATGAGAGGGAGAGCCAGCTGTTACTGTCATTCCCTTGATCCTCTGGGTTAATTCTGAGCTGGCTGTCCTTACTGCTTTGCCCACATTGCTCCTGAAGCATTGTTCATGCATTAAACCGAGGTTAAATAGCATAAAATCTTTCCCGGTCAGTTCCTAAAAATGCAGTATAATCATAGAACTTTTGAGCTAACTTGAATTTTAACTCCTCTCTTCATTTCCAAGTTGAGACTCAAAGAGGTTAAGTGACAGACTGGGATGGGATTTACTGGTTGCATTTCAGCATGTTTTTGAGTTCCATCTCTGGCTGGCTCTGTGCCAGGCTCTGGGAATGCTGTTACAGCTGATCTGTGAGGTGTTCTTGCTGCCATTCCTGCCTCTTCACAGGTAGTTAATTTGCAGCATGGGACAGGTAGGCAGGAGCCAGAATAGTGGAGCTGGCCACATGGTGTGGGAGGTGGAGGATGGGCATAGTTGGCAGCTGTGGCCCTGGTGGCTGAGGGTACTGATAGGGAGGCATGTTTAGGGAAGAGGACGGGGACTCAGTGCTTACATAGTCATAGGCAGCATAGCTTTGCTGATGAAACATTTTCACCTGTCCACAATGCTGTTGGAAGGTGGTGGGAGTTGCAGCTAGGCTCTTCTGTAGAGTGTGGTGACAGCTTCCTATTTTAATGTAATGGCATTGTAATTCCAGTGCTGATCCTGAGGGCAGACCATGAATCCACACTTCATTCTCATGGGTTTGTGAGGAGAGAGTGTAGATTGAAATACAGATAAATGTATGTTTTTAAGAATATCTTGTCCTGCATCCGCCTCAGAGGTACCCTCACTGGAAAGGGAATGGTGCGGCACTGGGAATCTTTGTTCCTTTTTAATCTCTTCTCCCTTGGTCATTCAGAGCTCCAGCAACCCTGGCAGCCCCCTGTAGCATAAGAAGCAAACTTTGAGGAACTGCTTTTAGTTTTCAAGGTAGTTTTATTCTGCCTCAAATCGGTGCAAGTGTGCAAGTCAGTTGTTCTTATAAATCTTTTATAAGTACATACATAAGTTGGTTACCTTTATACTTTATACTTTTTTTCTTTTTTGGTGGCATTGGAGATTGCGTTATAGCTCCCCCCCCCCAGTAGGTTCTCCCTAAGTTGTCCTGGCTGGGCTCAAACTTGACATCCTCCTGCCTCAGCCTCTCATAGTGCTGAGATTACAGGTGTGAACTGCCACAGCTGGCCTGCTTCTGTACGTTGTAATCTTTTTTTTTATTTCTTCCCTCTCTATGAATGTCTAGCATTTCTTTTGTACCTAGATTCTTCTTGCTTGTCTGTCAGATTGTCATTGCCTTCTCTCTCAGAAAGCCTTGTCATCTTACAAACAATATGTTAAATTAGGAGTATTATATTAACTTCCTAATACTGTGTTAAGTTTAGGAATCTGCATCTAAGCTTTTTTTTTTGGTACTGGGGGTTGAATTTGGGCCCTTGCACTTGTGATGCAGGCACCTGAAACTAAATCCCTGGGCCGTGCATATAAGCTTTTGAGGAGAGTTATAAATCTTCAGTGGTTCCCTGACCTTTTTTGAATTAGAGACCCTTCTGGAAGTTGTTAATTGTAGGCTCTTTCTCTAGATAAAACCAGATTGTATACCTATTCTGGGTTTAGAAATCTCAGCAGTCTTCATATCATGTTCATGTGCTTTATTAAAGAACTAGTAGAGCTGGGTGTGGTGGTGCACACCTGTGTAATCCCAGCACTCTGAAGGCTGAGGCAGAAGGATTGTGACTTTGGGACCAGCCCATGCTACATAGTGAGTTCAAGGCCCGTCTGAACCATAGCATAGGGAGCCCCTATCTCCAAAAGCAAAAAACAAAAAACCCCTTTAGACAGTGTATCAATGACATGTTCAGAGTGCACAGGTTAAGTTTTGTGTCATCTTTTGTGGGAGACATGGATCATTTTTTGCTTTACAATTCTATCACATTGGGGAAAAGACTTCTTCAAGATCAGAACTATTTTGTTGTTTTTACTGGCATTGCATTCTTATGTTTTTTCTCTGTAGAGGAATATGTGACATTTTTTCCCCCTTTTTGCTGAACTGTTCTATCCCTTTCAGGTTTCTTTTTTCCCCTTTTCAGTATGTCTGTCTTCTTGGAGCATATTGATTTTATAAGGTGTTAATTTATTGTTGCATCTGATGCACACAGATGACATTGTCACCCCCACCCAAGAAAGCTGTCTTCATACTGTTGAGGTGGCACCTTGGAAAGTTGGGGCAGTTTGGAGAGGAGACTGAGAATGAGGGGTAAGGGAGCGTCATGGTTGGCACTCTCTAAGCAAGTGCTAAGAACCCTCAGCAAAGTGAGGTAGATGGGCTGCTAATGCCTGACCCCCTGATTTAAACAAGAGGAAGGAAGTTCTTATTATAATAACTTTCAGATATGTGAAAATAGAATAGTAAAAGAACCTTATGTGCTTCAGCAGTCATCAGGACAGGGCAAGTCACGTTTGTCTATTGCATATACCAAGCCCCTCTTTCTTTCTCCTGTCCTTCTTTACCCCCTTGTAATGATGGATCCCCCCCACCCCAGTGTTGGGAATTGAACCCAGAGTGAACTCCTGAGTGTTGGGGCTTTATGATTCCTGCTAGGCAAGCAGCTATACCACTGAACTTCATTTCCAATCCATTTTAGTTTCTTTGAGACAGTCTTGCTAAGTTGCTCAGGCTCACCTTGAATTTGAGATACTCCTGTCTCAGCTTCTTAAGCCTTGGGATTACAATATATGCCACAACTCCCCAGCCCCCTAAGTTATTTTAAAGCAAATTCAGGATTTCTGTTTTCATCTGCAAATATTTCTGTATCTAATCCCTAATGTAAAAACAAAATACTCTGATTGTAGTTGCTTTTGAAGCCAATGAGATCTTGACCAGGTGTGCCAGTTAACAATTACTTTTAGCAGGAGCTGAAATTCACTGTTGTAAGAGATCTGCAGGTATTCTTTAAAGTTAGGAATCTAGGGCTGTGTGCATTAAAGGTAAAAGAAAGCATCTCTTACCTTTTCTGGCCAGCTACTTCCCTTTTCTGTCTTTGTGAGCCTGGACTCTAGAATAAAAAGTGTAAAGACTTAGATTCCTACTTGGCACACTTTCCTTGCCAGCCAGCTGGGATTCAGTCTACATATCCTGCCAAATATTGAGATAACTATGGCATAGTCGCTTCATTTGCATGACAGGTTTTGTAGCCAGTAATTTTTTTCCATTTGCTTAAAACTATACTTGAGTATTTGTGTGAGTTTGAGGGATGATATTGTCAAATTACGAATTTTGGTTTTAGAACTGAAGATGGTTTTTAGGAAGGGAAATTAATTTTTCTATTCCTGAAAGTTTTAAGTAGGCCAGGAATTTATGATCAGATGAGCTTGTTATCTGCTTATTGGATAAAGTGAGGACAAATTAATGAGGATTACTTTTACAATCCTGAAAGTATGGTACTATAGCAGCAAGAGTTACTTGTCTTTATTTAGATAGTGAGTGCATTTCTCTCTTTTATTTTTTTGAGGCAGGGTCTTACTGTGTAGTTCAGGGTGGCCTTGAACTCAGTATGTACTCCAGGCTGGCCTCGAATGTGTCAATCCTGCCTCAGCCTCCTGAGTGCTAGGATTATTGGTATGTGCTACTGCATCAAGCTGTGAGTGCATTTCTTGTGTAGCCATACCTAAAATAAACTACTTTTTAAGAAAAGTGATAAAGGGCTGGGGATTTAGCTCAGCGGTTTGGTGGCCTGCCTTGCAAGCACAAAGACCC